GCAGCGAAAAAGCGGTCGCACTACATTTTCCTCCGGTTTGGGACCGGCTCCCTATCTGTGTTGAGTCGTGAAGACAACGTTTTTGATCGAATGGGCTGGCTTTATGGGAAGGAAAAAAGGTATCTGTTCATTCCCACTTGCGGCGGATAACTATAGTTGAAAAGAATTTGACACATCTTTTGAAGCACAGTACTAATTCTCTTAGGGAAAATAAGTTTGTACAAAGATTTCTTCCCGAAAGTTAAGCAGTAAGATTCAAGTATTACCGTAGTTATAATCACTCACTCTCTGTGAAAACTCTGTTAACCTTCGTGCTTTGCTAAATATATTTAAGGTATCTCATATTTGTTTGAACTATGGCTGCCCGACATTAATTGCACCAGATCATGTCTTAAAACGAACTCTTTACTGCTGTGGATCGACCATCGCAATGGGATCACAATAACGAATGTATTTCTACACTTAACGACGTGTGCCATCTTCGAAGAACACTCCACCGTCGATTGCACAATACTTCGGGCAAATACCGGGTTCACCCTGCCGACCAGTTGGTCCTGGTGGTCCGGGACGTCCAGGATTTCCGTCTGGTCCAGGTGGACCATCGGGTCCAGTAGGTCCTTTCGGCCCAGGTTGACCTGAAAATTATTTTGATCTTCTTTGAAAGATATATTGGAGTTTTTTGATTACCTGGTGCTCCTGGTGCGCCGGGAAGACCATCTGGACCTGGTGGTCCTGGAGGTCCAGGTGGTCCTGGTGGTCCAGGTTCTCCCGGAATGATTCCTTCTGAAACTGCATCCTGTCCTGGTGGTCCTGGTGGACCAGCTGGTCCTGGATTTCCTGGTGGTCCACGAGGTCCTTTCGGTCCTGGTGGTCCGGGTGGGCCATCAAGACCAGGCGCTCCGGGCTGTCCATTTGGTCCTGCGTCTCCTGGAGGTCCTTGGGGTCCTGGCGGTCCTGGTGGTCCCTGTGGACATGGGCGGCATGGCGGTGGTGTGATCGGCTCACAGGGTTGCTGTGGTGGACGGCCGGGTTTACCAGGCATTCCAGGAACGCCAGGTTTGCCTGGTCTACCGGGTCTTCCAGGTGGTCCTTGAGGTCCAGGTGGACCAGGAAGGCAGCACGCTTCACAACCATTGCTGACTATTCCGCCGGATACAGCAGCATCTCCTCCGTAACCAGCCTGACGCGCTGTACGATTACCAGTTGGGATTTGCCTGAGTTGGTTCACTTCATTTAGGATGTCTTTTGCCGACCCCTGAAAGAGAGGATAATTATTTCAAAATGTCAGCGGCGCTGTAGCTCACCTTGCAGAAGTTGACTTCATTATGCATAGTCCTCTTCACATTGTGTACATAATTATAGACCATAGGTAGAGTTACACATACTGACAGCACCGCTACAACAGAGAATGTGACAGCTGAATAGGCGACGAAACGGTAGGCCTTCACTCGATGCTCCAAATCCATACTGAATGGAGCGGAGCTGTCGTGGTCGTAGTCGTCAGCTGTCTATTCGGCTTTCGTCTGGACCTTATATAGGATGTCTTCAGATACATCACGCCTCTACGTGTGTCGTACGCCTCCTCAACGATATCTCGCACAGCTGCATGTTCTCCTACGGATGAAAAACTTCTCCCAAGGTCACGCTCATGCCGTGAATTTGACCGTTGTCGTCCTTAGAACTGTTCAAAACAGGTCCATATTTCATTTCGCGCTTGTGAACTTTGCCTTGTGTGCTTGAGAGAAAAAAAAACTATAGTGTCGGCATCTGGCCTACGTCAAGGTCTCTGATACATTTTTGAGGGTTGCACATTCCAACCAGTTTTTACATACGTTGTAGATTCAACGAGAAAATGCAGAAGTTCGCCATATTCCTGAATAATTTAGACCTTTGTTCTTTGGTCATAGATAGGAGTTAAGAATATGTTACTTTTTGCAAATTGTACCTCCGCTAGACATGCCTAAAGGTAGCACTGTAGTATTAGATTCTCATCTCAAATCTCCTAAAAAATCTCTGTCATATCAGGAAATTCCCACGCTTAGAGATTTTGAGGATTTGTTGAGCTTTGATGCTTGATTGATGATCCCTA